CGCCCACTGTCCCTGTGCCAGCAGAGAAGGGCTCTGTGGAGGCCAGGGGACCCACCTCCCCCGCCACCAGCCACACAGGTGAGAACTCGGCCTCTCAGCGAGTCTTCCTTGTAGCCCATGCGGACCTGGGCTGCTCCTGTGGGCCGCCCTCCAGGACTGCTCACCTCAGTGCTTAACCCAGAGCAGAGCTGAGCAACAGAGCTGAGCTGAGGCCTGCACACCACCTGGAGCAAGCCAGCCCCGTGTGGGGGGTGAGGCCGGCCCTGTGTGGGGGGTGAGGCCGGGGCTGTGTGGGGGGTGAGGCCGGCCCCATCGGGGAGGCAGAGGAGGCCGGGCCCCATGGGGGGGGGCAGAGGAGGCTGGGCCCGTGTGGGGGGTGAGGCCGGCCCGGGTAGGAAGCAGAGGAGGCCGGGCCAGCCCTCCCCAGTGCAGGACAAGCTCTCATCACAGAGCACAGGCTGAGGGAGGGACCAGGACGGACGCTCCTGGTGCAGCAGACCCAGCTCTGCACCTCTGTGCTGTGTCGGGGGCTCCTCCAGACCTCCAGGGAAGCCCATGGCAGACTGTGAAGACGCGGAAGACATCATTTGAGAGGCCAGCGCCCCGGCCTCCACTCTGTGGACAACAGAGGAGCCTCGCTGCTGCCTCCAGCGTCTGCAGGCCCCAGGGCTGGGCTGTCCCTGGAGCTGCTCCTGCCTGTCACCTCCAGAGCAGGCGCTAGCAGGAGCCCCGTGTGGAGAGCCCACAGTTAGGACTCTGCGGCCAAGCGGCCCCGAGTCAGCCGCTGCAGCTCTGAAGGCGCTTCCCCCTGAAAAGGAGCTCAGTACCCTGTGTCCACTGTGCCCCACGGCTCACAGCCTCGGCCCCCGCAGAGCACTTTCATGTGGCTGAGCAGGGTTTTACTAAAGGCGTTGTACCAAGAGTCCTCTGGGGAGCACACCCGGAGCCAAGCGCATGCACTCCCCTCACAGACACCCAGGTCCAGGCCTGGGAAGAGCTGTCTGCTTAGCACAGCTGTAGCGGGTTGGTTTATGTGTGATTGCTAAGTGCATACACATGGAGAGCAACATAGTCACAGAAGAAACACGAGAAAGCAAGAGCATTGAAAACCTCTCAGGCAATGCACACATTTGCCAGCATGAAATACTGGAAAAGGATTCAAAGTAATGACCTTAAACCGTGGGATACAGGAGGGTATAAAAACATCACTGAAATCAAGAAAAGAACTCAGAATCTGAATAAGAAATGAAAGAGGTAGGTGTCATCATTGACCTGTACAAATCTCTTGGAGCTGAAGAATTCAGTGGATGAAAGCAAAAGGTCACAATGGAGGCTTCAATCACAAACTTGATCAAAGGGGGAGTATAGATGAAAATAGTAGCCCTAGTTTCTTTTGATCAGACAGAGGTACAGAGTCTTAGCAGGGAAATACACTTCAAGACAGGACAACAGGGGCTGGGAAGGTGGCTCAGTGGTAGAGCGCTTGCCTTGCATGCATGAGGCCCTGGGTTCGATTCCTCAGCACCACATAAGCAGAAAAAGCTGGAAGTGGTGCTGTGGCTCTAGGGGTAGGGCACTAGCCTTGAGCTGAAGAGCTGAGGGACAGCGCCCAGGCCCAGGGTTCAGGCCCCAGGCCCCACCAAAAAAAAACAAAAAAAACCCGCAGAAAGACAGGACAACATGCAAAATACAAACATTCAGGGCTCTTTTGCGGGTGCCTCTTCCAGGTGAGAGCCGACCCAGCGCAGAAGCTGGTCCGGGTGCAGTGGGCGGGGCTTGGACCAGACCCCACTAATGCCTCCCCCTCCGCTGCAGAGGTTGGAAACCAGCCCCCCAAAGTGACCGTGTTCATCCCACCGCGAGACGCCTTCTCTGGCCCTGGCCCACGCAAGTCCAGTCTTATCTGCCAGGCCACAGGCTTCAGCCCCAAGCAGATCACAGTGTCCTGGCTACGAGATGGACGGCCTGTGACGTCCGGCTTCACCACTGAAGAGGTGAGGGCAGAGGCCAGCGCCGAGTCCAAGCCCCGCACCTTCAGCATCACCAGCCAGCTGACCATCACCGAGCTCGAGTGGCTCAGGCAAAGCGTGTTCACCTGCCGTGTGGATCACCAAGGACTCACGTTTGTGAAGAATGTGTCATCCATGTGCAATGCTGGTGAGTGACTTTCCCTGAGTCCAGTGCCCAAGGTCCTAGCCAGGGTACACAGGGACACACGCGCGTGCACACGCACACACACGCACACTCAGGCATGGCAGACCCCGCCGTGCATGTCCCTCTGCTCCCTGACACTTGGCTGCACAGCGTGGTCAAGTGTGAGAGCAGGGTCAGGGACAGCGGGGGAGGGAGGCCCGGGAAGGGACAAGGGTCGCCCTGCAACAGGACCAGGCAGACTCAGCAAGGCAGCTGCTACTCTTGGGGAGGAAGCAAAGCCCTTCCCAGACGTGGCACCCAGTGCTGACAGCAGTGTTCTCTTGACCACAGTTACGTCCACAGACATCCAAGTCTTCACCACAGCCCCCTCCTTTGCCGACATCTTCCTCAACAAGTTAGCCAGGCTGTCCTGCCTGGTCACAGACCTGGGCTCCTATGAAAGCCTGAACATCTCTTGGACACGCCAGAGCGGCGAGGCCCTGAGAACCGAGACCAAAAACTTCAACAGCCACCCGAACGGCACGTTCAGCGTCACGGGGGAGGCCAGCGTGTGTGTGGAAGACTGGGAGTCTGGGGAGAGGTTCACGTGCACCGTGACCCACGCGGACCTGCCCTCGCCGGTGAAGCAGACCATCTTCAAGCACAGAGGTAGGCAGGCTCCAGTCCACCCCTGTCCGGGCCCCGCCCCAGGCCCCGGGAGGGCGGCTGCCCCGTGCCCACCCTGACTCACCACCGTCTCCTTGCTCACAGACGTGGCCAAGCACCCGCCCGCCGTGTACCTGCTGCCCCCAGCCCGGGAGCAGCTGGCCCTGCGGGAGTCAGCCACAATCAGCTGCCTGGTGAAGGCCTTCTCTCCCCCGGACGTCTTTGTGAGGTGGCTTCACAGGGGGCGGCCCTTGTCCGAGGACAAGTACGTGACCAGCGCCCCGGTGCCTGAGCCCCAGGCCCCAGGCCTCTACTTCACCCACAGCCTCCTGACGGTGTCCGAGGAGGACTGGAACTCTGGGGAGACCTTCACCTGCGTTGTGGCTCACCAGGCCCTGCCATACATGGTGACGGAGAGGACCGTGGACAAGGCCTCCGGTAAACCCACTCTGTACAACGTGTCCCTGATCCTGTCCGACACAGCCAACACCTGCTACTGACCCTGCGGCCCCCACAGGCAGGCTCTGGGGCCGGGGCTCTGTGTGCGTGCGTGCATCTAACCGCGCCAGCCGTGAGGCGATGCCTTCTATAAAGTAGAAATAAAACGATCCTCTCAAAAGATGCTGGTCTTGAGTGTGCAGTGCTCTTGCCTGCGGGGACGGTGGCGGGCGGTGCCCATGCCCTGCAGAGCGCCTCCCTCTTGGCTCTGCTCTGCCTCTCCTCTGCCTGCCTCTGTGTGACCTCAGGAAGGGCCCTGCACCCACACCCTGCACACACGGAGCCCCGCACGACAGCACGTGGCAACACACACACACACGGACACACAGACAGCCACACACACGTGTAAATGTGTGCACACGTGCAAACATGCATTCCTAAGCAGAGAGATGCAATGGCTCATGGGACACGAGTGGACACACATGGACTCATGCGTGCAACAAACAATGCTCATGAGCAGGAAGAGACACATAAGCAGGCACCACACATGTGTGCACACAAGCACTGGCAGGCTCTGATCCCCACGGATGCATGCACACCTACACACATGTGTGCACACAAGCCTGGCAGGCTCTGATCCCCATGGCTACTTGCACACCTACACACGTGTGTGCACACAAGCACTGGCAGGCTCTGATCCTCACGGATGCATGCACACCTACACACATGTGTGCACACAAGCAGATGCGGGATAAAAGTAAATACAGTCACTCAAACACAGACTACAGACATGGGAACACAAACATGCGTGCGTCCAGAGATGCAGACCTAGCACAGTCCTGCACACAGGGACACGTGCGCATGTGGGCACAGACAAGGCGCACAGACACCCGCAGGGCCGCTCTGCTGCACTGTGCTGGCTCAGGGCTTCTCCCGCACGGCTCTGCTTGTCATACTTCTCTGCAGTCATACTTCCACAGCCCAGCCCAGCCTGGCCTCTGACCCGGGGCGCCGTCCCTGGGTCCAAGCCCAGGGCTCAAAGCCAGGGCTGAGCCACCGCAGCTTCTAGGAAAGCCCCCTCTGTGCGCGAGGACACAGCGTGCCCACCTGCCGGGGCTCCAGGTGAAGGCAGCAGGCCCCTCCAGCCCCAGGTGTGGGGGAACATGCTAACAGAGCGAGCGGAGTCCCGGCCTGCTCTTCTCGGCTGCTCCCCGTTAGTAGGAAGCCACAGGAGACCAGTCTGAGCACATGTGCCCTGCTTCCCAGGCCGGCTGCAGAAGCTAGCTGCCCAGGAGAGACAGCGAGGGAAGACAGAGACCCGGCAAGGGCCCCGTGCCCGCCAGACGCTGCCTGGCTGCGGTGGCCTTTAGACCCTGCCGTGCGCTCAGCCGCTGCCCCAGTAGCCTGCATTCCCAGGCAGAGGCCTTGCCGAGCGCGCTCATCTCCCGTCCCCTGGCCCGGGAGCCATGGCTGCGGGGAGGGGAGCGACAGGCACTCTGCTTCGCTGGGGAGCAGGTGTCAGAGTGCTGGCCGGGAAGGGGGAACAGGGCAGCCTCATCTCCATCTCCATCTGCCCCGTCCCAAAGCAAGGGGCTTCAGCGTGTCGGCCGCCACGCGGCCCCGCGGCCCTGGCTCTGGGCCCCGCACAGAGACCAGGACACAGCGGAGCCCCTTCCTGAGCCCGCGCTTCCTGCACCCGCGCCCGCGTGCTGCGCCTCTCGTGCTCTGTCTGCCGCCCAGGGCTCACTGCCTGCCGCTGCTTGGCCATGCTCTCCTCTGTCCAGCTAGCACTCAAGGAGCCCGTCCTGTGCTGGCCAGACCTCCTCCAGACTGGCCCGGACGCTCCAGCCCTAGGGCAGGTAGCAGGCAGGCGTCCAGCCAGCACCCGACTTTACTGCCCCACGAGCCTCCACCGCACTCTGACCCTCCTTCTGTGCCCCCTCACAGAGGGAGAGGTGAGCGCCGAGGAGGAGGGCTTCGAGAACCTCTGGACCACGGCCTCCACCTTCATCGTCCTCTTCCTCCTGAGCCTCTTCTACAGCACCACTGTGACCCTGTTCAAGGTAGCCTGGCTGGGGCTGACCGGGGCAGGGAGCGGCCTGGGCTGACAGAGGTGCTGGGACCCCGTTCTCCTACCCCACCTCTGCTTGTTTGGGGCCCACGGCTCACCCTCCCTGTGTCTGTTGCCTGCAGGTGAAGTGACTTGTCCAGCGAAGGACACTGGAGACCAACGGGCTGGACCACAGGGCACCACCTCTGGGCTTGGGTGGCTCAGCCTGTGGCTGATGGACCTGCACCTAACTCTTCCCCATGTATCCCTTCAGCTTTGAGCTGTAAAATTGACTGGCCACAAAGGCCCTGGGGCCCGGCCTGTGGAAAGCCTGCTTACTTCTGTGCTGTGTGCATATGTGAGCCAAAATAAACAGATACTTTCTATAAAACCATTTTCTCGTGGAGGATTTTGTTTCTTTACAATGTCTCTGTGTGAGAATTCTCATAGGTGACCCAAGTCCAAAGGCAGCCGTACAGCCATGGGGAGAGCTGTCTGGTGTGCTCAGGATTGGCGGACAACACATGGCCAGCCAGGCTAGGCTCGCTCAGGCCAGAGAATTGTAGGCCAGGTTTCTCAGACACAATGGAAACCCAGCACTGCCGCCCTCTCTCTTGTGTGGGATTTATAGTAAACTGGGTTGTTTGCGTCCTGTTCCAAAGCTTTGTGCATGTGTGGCATGTGCCCTCGGGTTGTAAGAAGTGCCGGCTGAGCTCTCTGGGCCTGTCAGTCTGTTCTGTGCCAGGGACCACCTCCCAGGGAAGCCTGCTGGGCACCTGGGGCAGTCGGTGCAGCAGGAGTGTGGGCGCTCTGGGCACCTGGGGCAGTCAGTGTGGGCAGGAGTGTGGGCGCTCTGGGCATCTGGGGCAGTTGGTGTGGGCAGGAGTGTGGGCGCTCTGGGCATCTGGGGCAGTTGGTGTGGGCAGGAGTGTGGGTGCTCTGGGCACCTGGGGCAGTCAGTGTGGGCAGGAGTATGGGTGCTCTGGGCATCTGGGGCAGTCAGTGTGGGCAGGAGTGCGGGCGCTCTGGGCACCTGGGGCAGTCGGTGTGGGACAGGAGTGTGGGTGCTCTGGGCATCTGGGGCTGTCAGTGTGGGCAGGAGTGTGGGCGCTCTGGGCACCTGGGGCAGTCGGTGTGGGACAGGAGTGTGGGTGCTCTGGGCACCTGGGGCAGTCAGTGTGGGCAGGAGTGTGGGCGCTCTGGGCACCTGGGGCAGTC